CCGCGGTACTGAACCACTCACACACGTTCTCGTATTGAATCAGTGATAAACTTAACCAAACCTGATGCTAAACAAGAATACCTCAACTGTCCTTTTAATACACGCCCTAGGAATGCGCACGGTAAATACTGCATCTTCTGTGTTATTGGCATGGGTCTTGTTTTCCGTTTTAAAGCCGTGGGTTTTGCTTAAAAGTCTCAACGAATCCCTCTAATCCTAAAATATCTAAGAGTGATATTCTTTGTCACACATGTGATACTTTAGTTTTTCCTGCAGGTTACAGCACTTCACGTGTCGATTAGCGGCATTGTGACACAATTGAAAGGGTGTAATAACCGAATAGACTTTGAGTCGGCATAAGGGAGGCATCGGCTTCTCTTCAACAGCCACTTAAGGCGTACATTTATCTTCTAAGTTTTTGTTTTAATCAACGTGCAACAAATCCTTATCGGGTTTGAATATCGCTAACATGTGTCAGAGAAAAGCAACTCCACTCTTCACTTGCAAATTCAAAGCTTAGTAAAGGCTTCAACACTAATTATGGAGGCAAAGAGAAAACATGTGTTTTACATGTTAATATTTCAAACAGGTCTCAGTCTAATTGGAGCTAACCAAAAACATTAGTAGCATGGGGGAGAAAACAACAACAGGAAAAGTACTCCGTGTTTTTGTTGTTGTTGTTGTTGTTGTTTGTTTGTTTGTTTGCTTTCTCCTCCTGGAAATATTCTCTGTAACGACTTGCTTACAGTGGACAGTCAAGGAAAAGTTGGCTAAAAATAATTTACCTTCGCGAAGAAGACTCGTCGATAAAACGCCTTTCTGCTGGTGTTCTGTTATCGTCTCTCCTTTCTTCCTGTTCAGTCGCTCCGCGTTATCTCGGCTTTGGCTGGAAATAAGCCCGTTAACTGAACCTGACCCGCAGCTGCGTCGCTCGCGCACCACTACTATCCAAAACAGCAATACTGTCTGCCCGCGTGGAGTGAGGCACGTGGCACCCCAACTCCTCACTCCACCTCTCTTCAGGTGAACGGGGGGGAGGGAGGTGAAGTGATGTGATATGGATCAGTGAATTTGTAGTTCAAACCACATGCAGCGATGCGATTTCAGCAGATATTGTTTTGATATGAAGCAGCAGCACAAAAATCAAGCTCTGCTATAGGATTTACCACAATTGTATGCATAAAACACAGAAATGACCTGTTTTGCAAGTATCTTTGTGACTCTGTGGTCTACCTTATAATCAATCTAATCCCCTTTGACCGCTGAAAATATCTCTATAAGCCTATTAAGTTATATTTGTTGCAAATTCTGCTGCCGTCTTGGCCATTTCTTAAAAAATACATATTTTTTTTATCTGGATAAGCCCAAAACAGCTTGTACCTTGTGTAAAGAATACTCTCTCTGGATCACAGTGACTTTCATGAGAGATATGTTTAAGGTATCTTGACAGATTAGGTCAACAAGTCACTTACAACAATGATACAACAATTCAATTCAATTTTATTTATACAGTGCCAAATCACAAAAACAGTCGCCTCAAGGCGCTTTATACTGCAAGGTAGACCCTACAATAATACATACAGAGAAAAAACCAACAATCATATAACCCCCTATGAGCGGCAGAACCAGGCTCAGGGAAGGGCAGCCATCTGCAGCGACCGGCTGGGAGAGACAAAGAAGACAGGATAAAAGACAAGCTGTGGAAGAGAGCCAGAGATCAAGGGTGCAATACTGTGCATTTAATTATTAAATTATGAGTTATTATTCATCTCTGACCCTCATCCACAGCACCTCTTTTGTCCTCCTGTCAACCCAAACCAGTGCTGGCAGATGAGCCTGGTCCCACTGGAGGTTTTTTCCTGTTAAACGGGAGTTTTTCCTTCCCACTCTCGCCAAAGTGCTTGCTCATAGGGGGGGTCGTTTGATTGTTGGGACTTCTCTGTAGGGTCTTTACAATACAA